ATAGAACTGCCAAAGCTCCTAAGACACCACCTGTAATACCAGCTGATCCAGATGGCTCCCGAGCCACGGAGAATGCAGATCCAGGCGGGTCACATGAAGAAGCCGCGAGCGCCGAACACGTCGAGCAAGGTGCTGTTGGTAGGATCGTTGATGACATTGACACAAAGTTCCTTGAACGGCACTCCGTGATGAATCACGCGAGGCGCATTGCAACATTGACAGAAATGCCAGGCATGAATGTGCTGTTAGAGTATGCTGGCCATGTGGATTCGAAGGTTGCACAAGCCGTCTGTGAGATAGGCGCTAAGTGCATAAAGTTATGCTCGGATGTAGTTGACCCGACAAACAAAGATCATGTTGATCAGGTTTTGGGGCAGCTTCAACATCTTTAACTTGTCCTTCGTAGAACGTCACAAAGGCAAGCATAAAGCACATCGCAAGGTAATCGAAGGTTCATGGCGTCACACATTGCCGCTGTTGCAAACCTGTCTTGACAATCATGGCAGGATAGCCGTAGAAGGACCCCAGAAAGCATATGCGTGGAATCATAAGCTTTGGAAAGATTTTGAGTCATCCAATGGCCTGAAACGTGTATCCTTCGATGGGTGTATGCTCGGTTTTGAGGGTGACCATTATCCCAAGCACCGTCCACTGTGTGTTTCGACAAACAGTCTGAACCTCATACAGTACCAGTGTGATAGCAGCCATGCGCATAAGCATTGTAACGACGTGCATCAAGCGTGTGAGGACGCATGTCCGATCAAGTTCGCCAAAGTTGTTGCAGAGGCTCTCTTTCCATCGCACGCATTCAAAAGCGTACCGCACATGACAGGTGCATATGGTATGGTGACTCAAAACTTGCCACGAAAGGTTTGGATGCAAGACCCGAGGGGCTTACAAGCAGTCCGAAAGGAGGCTGAAGGACTCAGAGCCAACAACACCTGGGATGACTCCTCAGCTACCTTCTGACTAGTCTTCGGAGTCAGGCAAGAGCCCAGAATCGAAAGATTAAAGTGGCAGAGTTGCTTACCTTGTGTGGAGTTAAGCACATAGAGTTGGAACCGCACCAACAAAAGTGGAAAGGTAGAATCGTGTGCCGTGGAGATTATGTAACGGATGCTTCACACAATATCGTCTTGTTTGATGGCACCGCGACGTCACCCACAGCACTTACGTCGCTAAACTTGACGTTTTGGTTTGGTTGTAGAAAATGTTCAACCCTTACCTTTAGTGATGCAATCCAAGCATTTCTTCAAACAAAGCTCGAAGAGGACACATGGGTAATTCTGCCTTACGAACTCTGGACCACCGACATGAAGGAGAAGTTTGACCCGAACGCCAAAATTGCCGTAAAACTGATGCGGAGCCTTTATGGCCACCCACTTGCAGGAAGTTATGGCAAGAACATTTTGCAGAACAATTACGGTCGTTAGGAGGCGAAGAGGTCCCAGGACATCCTTCTAATTGGTTGTTTTGGTTTCAGGGTGAACTCTCAGGCTTGAATATTCACGTTGATGATCTGAGTCTGGCCGGAAGGGCCGAGCTTCACCAGAGCTTCTGGGATCGCCTGCGTAAACTAATCAAGATTGAGCCAGAAACCAAGATCGAAGATGGAGCCAGGGTTCTTGGTAGAAACCACACGGTCCATCGCAGTCCGAGTCAAACAACTGTTACACTTGACATGCGTGCTTATGCCGAACAGCTAATTGAGTTGTACTTCGAGTTGTCTGGTTTAGAACACAAGATGCTGCGCAAAGTACCTACGCCTTGTCTCTCAGAAGCTAATATCGCTGACGATGATCTAGTTGTTGAAGGGGAGCTTAGCGGTGTAGCCGCGCGCATTCTGATGAAAATGCTGTGGCTGGCGCGACTATCGAGGCCAGATCCTTACTTCATTACCGGAAGACTTGCAACCAAGGTCACGCGATGGACCCGATGGGAGGATAAGGTTTTGTTTAGGGCAATTAGCTATCTTAACGGCACAGTAGACCTGTGCTTAACAGCCTCTGTATCTCACGATGAAGAACCGAGTCTTCACGTGTATACTGACGCAGATTTTGGTAGCTGTCCCTTTACCAGTAAATCAACGTCGGGTATCTTCGTTTGCATTGAGACAGGAGCGGCGAGGTTCCCTGTCTTTTGGTCCTCACACAAGCAATCTTCCGTAGCGCGCTGGACGCCAGAGGCAGAGGCAATTGCCATAAGCACTGTCATGTTTTCAGAATAGACATTCAAACTTTCCTGCAGTACTTGTTGGGTTATTGTTGTAAAACAACATACCATCAAGATAACGAGACCCTGCTCACGATTTTTGCTAGCGGCTACAGCGCTAAGTTGAGGCATCGTGGTAGAGTGCACCGCATCAACATCGCCTCGATGTCGGAGCAAATTGATAACGACCCAGTAGTTGCGACTTACTGCCCCACGAAGGAGCAGATAGCTAATGGCTTTATTAAGGTAATAAACCCCTGTGAATGGCCAGTTATGCTAGTTCAACTAGGTCTTAAACTTGTTCCTAAAGAGGAGAAAGCCCTTATTATCTTAGCAGACACAGTAGCGCGTGCTGAAGCGTTTGCTGGCAGCCTGCCGCTGCGCGTGAACAAACAGCATCTCGTGCAATTGCTGTCGTACTTACCGCAAGAGCAATCAGCAAGGGCTGAAGCTGCAGAAGGCGTTCATGGCTTCACATCAGGTGCTTTCGTACATGGTGGCATCATTGGTGTAAGGCATATGACAAGATTGTTTCCCAAAGCGACTGCCGTTATCACTAGGTTCTTCGGACAACTGATGCCATTGCACGCATTTACCACCGTAATCATGCAAGAAGGTGTAGTGACACCGTTACATAAGGATTCGCACAACGCACCTGACTCTAGGAACCTACTTGTGAGTTTAACGCCGTGATACGCCGTGCACAGAACCGCTGCTGTGGGTTGAGGATCCTGACCCAAACTCCCCTTGCCCAGCACCAGGTGTTCGCTTACAAGGATTCTTCCTTAAGAGTCCTGTAAGGTTCGATCCTAGGCGTTGGCATGTATCTGTTGCCACCAGCAATCCTAGGTTTACTGCAGTTGCATTCACAATCAGAGACTCGACCAACATCAGTCCTGATGACGGTCACCTGCTACAAGGATTAGGTTTTAAGCTCAATCAGCCGTAGACTGTTGTGCATATCAGCATCTGTACAAGCTCGTAGAAGCATTCGAACGTGTCCTAAAGGGGGGAGCTAAGAAAACACGTTCCCTGGACATGTTTCCTAGTGTAGCAGCAGGTACCAAGTTAGGACAGAACGAAGACTTATCAACCGAACTTTTGGCTCAAGGAAAACAAGTGCGTTTGCTGTACTTGTTGCTGTTCCTTGCTAGAACACTTGTGTCTCTTGTGTTCTTCTAGGTTTTGTAAGAACCCAGGTCCCAAAATCACAGATCGCAAAGTGTGTCTCCCTACGGTTTGGTGAAAACTCAGATCCCAAAACCGGAGATCGCAAGGGGTGTCCCCCAAAAGGTTTTTGTAACAAATAAGTTCCAAAATCACAAATCGCAAGGGGTGTCCCTCTAAGGTTTTGTAAGAACCCAGGTCCCAAAATCACAGATCGCAAGGGGTGTCTCCCTACGGTTTGGTGAAAACTCAGATCCCAAAACCACAGATCGCAAGGGGTGTCCCCCGAAAGGTTTTTGCAACAAATAAGTTCCAAAATCACAAATCGCAAGGGGTGTCCCTCTCAGGTTTGTGTGAAAAGCAGAGGAATTCACTTAGCTCTCGGTCACAAAGCCCTGGGCAACCAATCGTAGATCGTAGCAGTGCAAAGAAGAGGCAACACCTACACTACCCCAGCGCAGGCGGACCTTTTCCTGGACCTGACGTAAAGTCGGCCTTGAAAGGTTAAGCTGCGTAAGTGAGACAAAGTTGGCATGAATCCTATAGGTCCTAACCAGGATGCAGAAGCGCATGTTCGCATGTACATGATAAATCACACCCCCCTCGATGCGAGCTCACCCGTGAGAAGAGCGGAGTTCAGGAGTATCACGTACACTGATTGTGCACCGAGCCACATCTCTTCCGGTCAGCAAAGCTTAAAGCAACATGAAGCAATCAGATGTGGGGCGGTTTCTGCATCTGGATCGTACCTATGTTTGACTCTGTACATATGCAGCCTCTGATCGTTAGGCGCATAGCGAACTGCCATTAATCGTAAGCAGTCCGGATATTCCATCGGATCGGTTCGGGTGTGACACAATAGACTCAACGCGCTCAGAGCGACAGCTCGGCAGCATCGAGTGTCAGTGAAAAGAAAGAGACACACGAGGAAAATTCCATGGCTAGCCATTGTACCCCTGTGGGTCTTCTCAGCGTGGTGCAGGCAAGGAATGCTGAGGTTGTGACGGAAATCGTATCATAGCTCTGCTTCACCATCTGATTCAATCTGACCACTGACGAATTTTTGTCTGAGGGGTCAAAGAGAATCAACCGGATCAGCGTTGCAGTGACACGATGCGTCGTCACGCTTTTGGACGGTCGTTCATCTACGATTTGTGGGGCTACAAGTGCGATCCTGTTTTGCTCGTCCAGGACCGCCTTTTCCTCTTCCACCCTTATCGCCCTTTCCTCGACCTTTGTCCTGCTTTCCTTTGCCTTTATCGGATTGTCCTTTGCCTTGGGCTTTTCCGCCGGGGTCCGATCTTACCACATCATCGTATTCTTCGATAAGACCGCCAGTTCCGGAGCCAGATCGGGACTTACCTTTCTCGGTTGTGTCCTTCGCGGGACCCATGATCCTGGATCGAGACTCCATAGATCTATCGTCGTTATGATCGGTGGACTCGGAAGGCGCAACCTAAACCGTTCGTTGCGGCGGTCGCCCGCGTGCCTCCGCAGCCTGGGTCGAACTCATCGGCGTGGACCTTGGCATAGTCGGAGTCCAGTTATCATCCCGAGCGACTTTCTGGCGAGGATGCGATGAAGTCCTACCTCCCGCGCCAGCTTAACCGGGATTGATCTGCTCAGTCGGGGGTAGCGGATGTGCTGCCTGGAGACGGAGCTCTCACATCGGCAGCCGCTCGATGAACGCCAGCAGCCCTCATGTTAACATTGTCATCAGGATCGGCATTCATCGCGATGATCAGTTCTGCAGAACGATTGCGGATCACCGGCAACGATTTGGGATCGTGGTACATCTGGATGAGTTGCCCTATCGTAGGATTCCCCAGACCTTCATCTGGAACCTTCGTCTTCATCCTCAGTACATCGGGCATCCGTTTGTCGTCTGCAAATCGTGATCTACCGGAAACGCGGAGTGTCTCCCCATCGATGTGGGGATCACTAAAGGATTCCTTTTTGGGTGCTTTTCGCTGGGCGGATTGCTCGGTGGGGGCATCTCGCGTGGCGGCGGCGTTGCCGTCTCCGGAGCGATACCTCCTATGTCCTATGTGCTCACGCCCTGTACGAACCCTGGGAGGAGAATGTCGTCGAATGTCGTCGAGCAGCCCGATCGAGCTCGCATTCTTCATCGTCATCATCCGGAGGAACAGGGATGTTGTGAGCCTCCGGCGCGCTAGGTTCTCTCCTACGGGTAGGTTGAACCCTGCGCTGCGGCATTTCCGCTCGTCTTCGGGTCTGGCTCGCTGCTCGTCTTCGAGAAGAAACATCAAGCAGATCCGGTGGAGCTTCCAGCTCTTCAGGCATGGCCTCGAACACGTCCTTCTCTATTTCCATCTTGGCCGGATCGTTGGCCCTTCGATTCCTTCGATCGGGAAGCTTGTCTTGGATTCGATCCACAAGCTCGAAGAAGGTATCTTCCGTGGCCTTATCCTGTTCAAGGATGTCCTTCGCATCGGGACCGATCCTCTTCACAGCATTCTTGAAGTTTCTTCGGTACTCTCGGGCGTCTCATCATCGTCGAGCATGTCGAGCGCTCGCATGTACCCTTCATCTGGGACACGATATCCCTGATTGGTGTGGTGGTGCGTGCGCTTTTGGCCCAACGGGTCAAGTTAACTCCACTTTATCACCGGCTTAGGCTGCCCTTTTCCTTCACCCTTGGACACCCCCTGCAGCATCGGCATTGCCAGCTATCTCGTCATCATCGTCATCGGAGATGTAACCGGGTTCTCCCTTCACGGGAATGCGGTAGCACGTGGTGAGGGTAACCTTTGCCAAGAGTATCGAAAGGCTCTCACTGCCCACACGCATGTATCGCTTGTATTTCTCCGTGTCCCTCATCGTGTCACGGAACTCATCAACCGTACCGAACTCAGTGCAGAGTCGCATGTGGCTAGCTCTCTCCAGGAGCAGATGTGCCTCTCGGAGCTTCTCAACTTCTCAATCGTTTCTCTATCAGCGCCTTCGGTGACTCTCTCTGTTGAAGGGGGAGAGGTAGGCGTGCTCCAGGCATACCGGGTATGCGCGTTGACAGTGGACCGACCATCGTGCGTAGTAGCAAAGCGGCCTCTCGCGGCAGCTGGTGAACACCGAGCCGTAGTGTTTGACAATCGTTTTGGCTCGGTCGGATTCAAAGAAGTCCAGCACGCCTCCGCGGGCTTCTTTCCTTGTGATCCCAGCGACCAATCGTTCGACAGAAATGTCCAGGCGAATCGCGGCCTGGATCGTGCCACGCACGCTTCTCTTGAACAGTTCTACCTCGGTCGGCAAGAGATCCACAGCGACACATCTAATCGGACTAATGCCGAAGAAGGCAGTCTGTCTGTGATCCTCAGACAGTGCCCGTGATGCGGGAAAGTTCCTCAGGTGCCTAATCGTTGGATACACATGAGGTTTGAACTCGCTGAGGTCGTTAGCCGAGCAGATCGTAGAACCATTTTGCGTGGACACCATAGTATGCCACCTGGAACATGTTCTGCTGATCGGCGTAATAGATTCCATCAGGATAGTGAATCGGTTTCGTGCACGAGTGGCGCAGGCGGAGACCCGCGGGAAACAGCGCCGCGCACATCGGGCAGGTGAAGCTAGCCAGAGGCCACTGCTCTCGTTGACCACCCCTCCTCCAAGATACTTGAAGGCGGTGTTGAACACCATCGCGCCTGTATCCATGAAATAGGCAATCGGCATGCAAGCGAGGGGAATCGTATCCTTGAGTGCATGGTAGCCTCTCGGGTGGTAGGATACCGGGTTGATACCCACGGCGTACATGTGCAGGTCGATGGCAAACACAATCATCCTGTTTGATCCAACTCCTTCGGGCAACGTGCTTTGCTTCTGAGCTGTATTCGGAAGCGTTTCTCGGCCCGGATTTCTCCTGGCGTTCATGTACACTTCCTCCCATTCATTGTTGCTGCCCGTGCCCGGAGCGTGGGGGAGCAGTGTGAGAAAGAGCTGTCCCTTCGGAGGATTGATCTGACTATCGCTCATGTATCCGAAGAACTCGCGAATCGTAGCACAGCCCCAACCGTACTGTGGATGCTGTCGAACCACATTTCTCACCCGCTCGCCATCGCTATACTCCTCTTTGGCCAGTTGAATGAAGGGCCCATGAGGAGAATGGATCAATGCGCGAAATCACTGGAAGCTATCGGGACCGAAGCCATACATGGCTCGGATACCAACGAACTGTGGAGTTCCGTCTCTGTTAATCGTCGAGTAGAATAACTCAAACATCCTGTTATTGTCCGTTCGGGCAATCTCCATGATGCAACGAAGAGTCAACTCGGATGGCTGATGGGCAGGGCCGCAGTCAGCAAAAAAAGTCAAAAACAGCGGGGGGCAGGTCAGCAAACAGCAAGGAGGGAAGTCAGAGGCAGCGCAGGTGAGTTCAGCAAATACCGAAGCCCGTATCGGAGGCACCGCAGGCCCAGACAGCAAACACCCCGACAAAGCTGAGCGGCATGCACATGCAGGTCCGTCTGACGCTTTTTCGAGGCTAGCGAGACGCGACGTGGGCTCCGCCAAGCCGTGACCAAGTCCTGCGAAGAGCGAAGCTTTCGGCACGCGATACAGGCTCGAATCAAGCACCGGGCACCACTAGGAAATCTTGAATCATCCCTTCTTTCTCGCTGCAAGAGGAAAAAGCAAGTCCAGACTGAGTCTCAGCTGTACACACGTCGGTTCCCCACAAGTACTTGAATCATGGAAGCATGCCCAACGATCACAGACAAGCTGAGCTTGAGGCACGGCAACCGCTTCCTGGCAGGCTGGGCAGCAGAACGGCCTTCATGGCCCGTGGGTAGGGCAAAGTCGGGTTGCCGTACTCCGATAGCTGGTCTTGCAAGCATGGCTGCGCACCTGGGCGCCCAATCCCCTTAACCCTGTCCCAAACCGCAGAACTAGCAGGAGTCTGTTGCAGCAGCGCGTCTCTCACAGCTTTGCCAAGACATGCCCACCATGGTTCCAGGTGTTGCCCGAAGAGTGACATAGATCACAGTGTTCAGCAACATGTCATCAGCGCCGACCTGTCAGCGGGGGAAGGAGTTTGGAATAATTATCCCGCAAGACCTCGAAGGAAAAGACGTATAGAGTGTTTGTCTGAGGCACCCATGCACCACGCAGACCAGCCTAATGCTTGAATTACGCAGCCTGGCCTGGAGGCTAGGCAAAGGCTGAACGCTTCCACTCTCCGGCCATGCGTAATAAGCGGAGCCCTGCAGCTGGCATTTTGCCTGGCGGCCGCAAATCCACGAGAGGCCCAAAATTTTGCAGAAACAGCATTCCAGTTGAAGTTTCTGGGGTTGAAGCTTGAGGCTTGAAGTTGGGTATCTGCATGCCTTGGGGCATGCAACACAACTAGGATATAAGGAATAAAAGTGCAATCTAGATGCAAGTACCAGCGTGCAGTGATGAACTAAAGAATGGCGCAAGCACATAATTACCAAGTAGAGCACCATGCACTAACTAGCTAAGGGGCAACAAGCAAAGCAGGAAGCAGAGCAGGTATGAAGTAAGGATGAAGATGCCACTGCCACTTCGAGCAAGCAACGCGTTATTCGGGGACGTGAAATAGGTTTTCGGGCTGCCCTGCCCCGTAGGTGAGAAAATGATTTGCCAGCCTATGGCTTTCTTGTTTCGAGGTCCTTTTGTTTTTGTTTGGCCTAGTGGCCTTCAGGCTGGTCATGAGGTCATCATCATCATCATCGTTGTTATCATCATTAACATCTTTATCATCAGAAAGAAAGCTTTGCCAGACAAGGCATCTCGAAAAGGGCTCAAGGCCAGGCAAACCTACGACAAACTATGGCCTACGACAAACTAAAGGCTAACAGGGAATAAGGGCTACTACAAACTGAGGCCTACGACTTTGTAAGGGCTACAAGGGAAATAAGGTTTACGACAAACTAAGGGCTAACAGGGAATAAGGGCTACTACAAACTAAGGCCTACGACAAACTAAGGGCTAACAGGGCAAAGCAATCCCAATCCCCTACCCCCCTCCCTTCGCTCGCACCCTCCCCTCGCAGGGTCGAGTCCTCGTCCCATTGCAAGAGGCTCGTGCGGTCCAGCACATGCATGAAGTTTCCCAGATGCCGGGAATTGAATGTCGTATCGCAGATTATGCGCCTGGCCTCCGCACGCCTGGGCTTCCGTGCCGGATGCCAAAGTCTTACCCAGCAAACCACCAAGGCCTAGAAAAATGAGTAGAACTCTGCGGCATGCGACGGCTCACCATTCAAAGACCGCATCTCCCGAGGGTCCGTGGGAAGTGTCAAACCGTGCCAATTTGCAAAAGACGTGGCCAAGAAAATATACTCCTGTGTAGATAGCCCACTGTGCTGTCGGCAGCGACAGCAGCGATATTTGCGTAACCTGAGCTTCAGCAGCAGCACATGCAATCCAAGTCCCGATCCGGCTGTTTCGCGTGCATGCGTGTGTGCGTGAGCTCTGTGGCTGTGGGTGAATGCGCTTCTGTCTGTAGCAGATGTCTTAACCGCTGTCCTTTCAAAAACTACTCCCGGCCACCTAGTTGCTCGCAAAGGACGTGCTGCAAATCCACGTACCCAAACAGTTGCGCCCAGCGCAGGTCCAAATGCTCTGCAACAATCGCACGCGCAGTCGGCAACATGGCTAGCAGCATGTCCTCCACGGTTTCGTGCGAGCTCTGTCCGCTGAACAACCTAAAACTGGAGATACATGCAGTCTACGCACTGGATGCATGTGTATAGTACAGTGTATAGAGAAGTCAAGCACGCCTGTCCGCCCACTCGCGGCTTCCGTGACCCAGATGATACAGTGGGCCTCTGCACAGGCCCAAGCACTGCAGTCTCCTGCATCCCGCGGAGCAAGTAGAACAACGACAATAAACAACGTCCAGAGAACCGCGTGGGGAAACAGCGGCAGGAAGATGTGGATGCACTGGCCTCATTGTCAAGTAAACAACAAAAGGAGCCCGAGCCCCGCCACGACCAAAGCCCGGAAGCAGGACGCCGCTTCCATGAGGTCTTGGGGTCGGAGGTCGCCCACCAGAACCAATCCTTTCAGGGTCTTGGGGGTTTTGGCTCGGATCTGCGGCTTCCGACAGGAGAAAATAAAGGGGTCTGTACTTAGGGTTCAGGGCTTGAAGGTTTGCAGGCTCTTGGGACAGCTAGTCGCAAGCCAAGGCATGCGCGCAGTACTGCATTAGCAAAAGGTCCTTGCAAAACAGCAGCTAGGCCCGTCACTGCCTGACACAGCCCAAAAGCCAGGACAGGAACATCCCGCCCATCGCCGTCAGATGAGCTGTCTTCCGACTCCTCCTGCTGCTGACCTCCCCGCTTCCGAAGACCGTAGTTGGCACCTACACACTTCAGGGCACTTTCACATACCCCTCACATGCGGCTGCACTCCGCGTGGCGTTAACAGCCCCTCCAAACCCCAAACCCTATAACCACCCAACCACGCCGGCGGCGACGCCAGCCAGCCACGGCTTTCGGCCAAGCGCTAGAAGGCTTCCCTGGAAGCCCGCAGCTCCTCCAGTTCTTCACGAACGGCAGAGGCTTGCGCAGGGTCGCGCAGCCACACCCGCTGCCCCGCCACGCAAACACTAGAACGGCCCATTGCTCTTCTGATGACTGATGCTGCTCGCTATCGTTTTTGTTACAATTTTTGTCATGGTGAGCAAGTAAGTGTATGTATATATAAGCATATATATATATATATATATATATATATATATATATATATATATTATAAACAATACATATATTGCCGCGGTGTACGCCCTCACAACTCGGCCAAGCCGGGCGAGGTCTCTGTGCGTAAGTCGGGGTGAAGATGGGTCTAATGCCACGCGCTGCAAAGGCCCGACATGCATCCAAAATTGGTAATTAGGGTTTAAGGTTCAGGGTTCATGAGTTGCACGAGATCGCGCGGACTCCGCGCCTCGAAGTGACCTCCCGATTTCCATGTCCGAACACCTAAACAACCCAAACCCTACAACACTTTAGCAGCGAAGACTCTAAGACGAAAAAGGGGCATAGAACGTAAGGACAAATAGAGGTCGGAGTTAAAGGATTTGCGTGCTGGAACCCTAAACCCTGAATCCCAAACCTCCAAAGCCTCCCGGAAACGGAGCCTTCACAAGAATCACCGAGACCCTGGTACTCGGGCAGGTGGGTGCAACGACCCCAACGCGCTTTCTGGGAATGTCGAACATCACCTCGGCTTCGGGTTTACTTAGTCACTAGAATAAAGCTTTGAAGTACACATAAAGTATAGCTTCAAGAGGACTATAAGGAATATAGGGCGAATTCGGTTAATGATTGTTCGGCAACCTGCTCAGGATTTCAGGTCTAAGGCCCAGGCGGCACAGGTCCGGCCGAGCAAGGCCCCAAGCGCTCCGGCTCAGACCCCGGGGACCCCTGGAAAGCATTGAAACAGCCGTTCTTTCACGTCACGATACCGGCCTACTCTGACACCTCGAAAGAACACGGCCCCGAAACCTTGCCGGGGGTCCATCTTTGATGGCATGAGAGGACCCCAACCTCCTGAAACCTCGGATCATGCAGTTTTCCCGACTCCCCCGTTCTTTCAGGTCACGATACCGGCCTAATCTGACACCACGAAAGAACACGGCCCCGGAACCCTTTTCGATGAAATTCAGGGGTCCATCTTTGATGGCATGAGAGGACCCCAATCTCCTGAAACCTCGGATCATGCAGTCTTCCCGACTAGATAAAGGCCGTGAACCCCTCGTTCTTTCACGTCACGACACAAGCCCAATCTGACACCTCGAAAGAACACTGCCCCGGAACCTTTTCGATGAACTTCTAGGGTCAATCTTTGATGGCATGAGAGCAGATGAAACAGGGACCCCAACGTCTTGAAGGCTCCGATCATCCTTTCTTCCCGAGTAGATAAAGGCTACAGACTCCACAGCGCCTGAAACTGAAACCGCTGCATGCGAGCTTGGAGGCGTCAGGCTTCAGCAGGAGAAAGCCTGTCGAGATGGGGCAAATTGAAGGCCGTGAGCAGTGAGCAGAGCACTACATGGCATTCCGCGTTTCGCAGCACAGGCACGAAACAGCGACCCAGAGCATTTCCAGCACGCAAAATGACGCAGAACTCTGTGTCTGTACAGTCGACGGCGTGCAAAATGGAATCTCTCACGCAGAATCGCCGTCATGCAAAAGGGCGGGCGGGCACCGTCCGCAACGGCATGCTCGGCAAATGGCAGACAGTATAAAACAAGGATCTAAAGCTAGCACGCCAGCAACCTGCACCGTCCAGCACGCAAAATGACGCCAGACTCTGTGTCTGCACAGTCGACGGCGAGCAAAATGGAATCTCCGGCAGAATCGCCGTCATGCACAAGGGCGGGCACCGTCCGCAACGGCATGCTCGGGTAGGCAGTACAACACAGGAATCCAAAGCTGGGATACAAACAACCTGCACCAATCACAACAAAGCCACTTGATGTATTGTTATCATAGACGTGGCTCCTAGCATGCCAGCGCGGGATGCACGCGGGACGATTACAAAACTGAACCATACAAGGCCGGTCCTACTTGGGATCTACTGTGCCGTCGCTATTTTCGCGGTTCTGAGACAACCAGGCCGTCAACAATTCTCCTGCCAGTGCCTTCATCGGGGCCACCTTGGACGAATCACGAAGGCGGCGTACCAGCTTGCCGATGCCGGTGGACTTGGCCTCCGTGACTGTGACCGCCTCGCGTTTGCACGTGCTCAGCGCAGCGAAAATGGTCTGAAAGCCCGCATCGGGATCCAGATCGATAGCGATGCCAGCCAGGAGCTTGCGCCGGGCCACATCCACCGCGTTTGCACCCTCCTCAGCACCCTCCATGTTCGCATCACTCGCACGGGCTGCCTTAGCTTGGTTCTTGTCGGGCGTCACCTCCTCTGCCGCAGTTGCCTTGTCTCTCAAGCGCTTCAGCCAGCGAGCCGTTGCGGAGGCTGCAATGTCCATGGCCTTCTGCCATGCTGCTGCCGACGGTAGCTTCCATCGTGACACCGGCTTGTGACGGCGCTGCTGCAGCAGGTCTGCAGCACCACTGTTTGCATCTCGGCGAGTGTAATCACGAAGGCTCCTGGGGATTGGGGGTTGACTCAATGGCAACCGGCACTGGATAAGAACTCTGGGGAAACACACTGCGAGGGTCCGTGGACAAAGTGCACAAAGTCAAAAAAACTGGATGCCTAGACACAGTCCGATCACAAAACAAAGCATTCTCCCCTTGTGACTCGGCCTGAACGCAGGCTCTGTGCTTCCGCAGAGATACATAGCAGCGGCTGCGTGTCCGCACAAGCATCGCTTCAACAGGATTGGGCAGCTGCAACGCACACGTTGCAAGAGTGGCTGCACAATCTTGGCATCGTCCGCAATGGTTGGGCGGAGCACCGACACGAAGGCGGATGTTCCCAAGAAGTTTTGCAGACCTGATCATGTCGGAGGTTAGGGTTTAGGGATAGAGTCTGGGACGCCGTGGCGGTGTGTATTTCCTACGAAACTACTAATTTTCCCTCGTGTTTTTGCTATTACTTTTAAGTAGAGAATATTACACCGCCACGACGTACGAGACTCTAGCAGGATGCAGTTGATTAGTGTTACCACGCTGACTGCCAGACGCAATGGAGCTGAGGTCAAGACCTTAGCGAGACGCGAACTTTCGTAACGTAAGCTTTCGGCTAGACACGTGTACTAGCAACAGTGCAATCATGCAGTCACTTGAGCAACTCTTCTTGTTCTCTCCGGCGCTCTGTTTGCAAAATGAAAGGTGTTGACAAGATTTGTTGCCTTCCTCGTTGCCCCACGCCCATTCGTTTGTGCTGTTACCTCAAACAAAAATGATATACGATGCTGCATAGTACTCACTAAAGACATGAGAGACGACATACAGGACTAGTGCTGTGGTTGCAGACACGACATCTGTCGCATCGGAAGCCCGGAAAAGCTTCATCTTGATGCAGGCTAACAAGATGTAGACACTTCTAGTGCCAGCTCTTGGCTCATGTTCGTTTGGAAGTCGACGGCCTCTTCAAGGAGGAGGAGCGTGTGGAGCAAGAAGGGCGTTTCGAGGGCGAGGACTTCCTGCGACATGAGTATTTCTTGCTGACGGGCTTCTTCAGGAGACGAGCTTTCAATCCAATCTGTCGTTTGGTGCTGTAGGGATTGCGGCATCGCGGCGGACAAGGTCATTGTGCTTCTGTACGTAGAGGAAGACGTAGAAGAGATGCGTGGTCCTGGACATCGTGTTGAATGTGCTCGCGTAACCCCGGAACCACTTGAACGTCTGTTCGGCGATGGAGGTGTTGACCGCGCGCAATCTTGTTGCCAAACGATTGTGCACCAGTGGCGAGCAAACACAACCATCCGAATGTCCATATGCATGAAACTTGTCGATGCACCAGTAGCGGATGCTTTTCAAAGCGTGCGACTGGGATGCAGCCTTCATGCAGCTGCACATGCGATCATAGATCACGCAATCGAGGTTCGGCAGCATGTAGGCGACGTCATTCAGCACATTTACTGCAATGTTGTTGTTCTCAGGGTCGATCATTTCTCGCAAGCCAATGATCAAGCCTGTCCCTGGATGCACTCTGCCTGCATGCTTTGGCGGAGCGTGTGCACACTTACTGGACACCTTTTCGTGGCCGTCGATTACGATGTCCTTCATCAAAGCAGCCTCTTCTTCCGAGCAGACATTTGCTCTCCACCATCTTGTGTACTCAGTCATGAATTCGTCCGATAGTGGATTTGCTATGTCAATCTGGTGCATGTACTTCAGAAGCGTCTCCCTTTCCTCCTTGTCATGCATGGTCTCCGCTACACACAGTACATTGAAGTACAGTTGCGCAGCGGAGTACTCCTGACGCCATCGCACGTGCTCATTGGAGTCTTGCCAAAGAGCTTCCTTCTGCGCGTAGGAGATTGCATGTACGCTTAATCCACCACGAAACTGTAGAGCCGCGTGGTACGCAAGGAAGTTCTTGGTGAACCCGGCTTTGGATTGACAAAGACGACGTCCACGTCCTTTGGCAGAATCGTGTTCATCTTGTGCCCGTCAGAGATGCAGTAGTTGTAGTGGTGGATGATTCGACAAGGTTTGTACGTGCAGCGTTTTGTGAGATGTTGTATGGTCTCATGGCCGTTGAGAGTATACAAGCGAGCATCAATTGATCGCTCAGTCTGTAGCACTGCCCCACATGCAATACAATGTCGAAGCGGAGTTGTGAACGTCCGGCAAGCCGATGCGGTTGATTCTGAACTCGTAAGAGCACCTGCTGGTCTTTTCAGAGGCCCAGCTCCACGGAGATTGTATGCCTCCTGATCCGGATGAATCCAGGAACGTGGACGAATATCGAGACGAAACCAAGTCATGTTCTGCATAGTTGATGCAAGACGAATGAAGCTATCGAAGTCAGTGATGAGGCGGCGGCCATTGCACTCGGAATCTACGATCATGACCTGGGAGTCGGTCATAAAGTTGATACCCCACCAGTGACCTCCATCTGATTGAACCTGATGACAGAAGCGGACCTCAGCGGAGTTCTTGAGGCCAACCAGATTGATATCGTTCTGGACGATCATGCGATAGCCCTCTGAGACGGCTCGATGGGAGGCATACATCATCTGGTCATTGAAATCTTTGGCGGAGATGCAGCCATCCTCCTCTGTAACTGCCACGAGATCGATGTCACAGTCTGGCTGTAGGAAACTAATGGCATAGTGCAAGCAAGATGCGTGCTGTTGCTCGGAAGCAACAGTATGAAGGTGCATTCGATGTAGCAGCCGTCGAAGATAAGGACCTGCACCTGGTCCTCCAGCCGAGATCGCATGATTTGCAGTAGCTTGGCTTCCTCAAAAGAAAGCATGGCTGAAAGACGACTAAATTCTGGATTGGGACGATCCCCGTACAAATCGCTGAACCAGCTCGCTTCAGGAGTTCTGAGCAAGGCAACGGCAGCGCGCTGGACCTCGTCACATAATTTCAAGAGAAATGGTGCTTCAATGCTAGGACGGCCCCCATAAAAGATTCGAATGAGTTCCACCTTTGCATCCATGACCGTGTAGTCCGAATAGGTCGCGAGGCACTGGCACCAACTGTTGCAATGAAGTACAACGAGAGCCAGCATAGAGTACTTCTGTTCGTCCCATAGTCCTGCATCTCTGAGTTTCTGAACAAGAAGTCGTGGGTGACAGCACGGTGCATCAACTTCGACACAATGAGAGCTGAATGCAGCGTAGCGTGCTTCGCGCGTAAGCTTCTGACCGGAGGGCCCACGAGAAATGAGACGGCCATAATGCTGTCGTCTGTAGTACTCGACCTCGATGGTGGAGTAGTCGCCGTGACTGAAACCATCACGACGATGACGTGTGATGTACGCATCCAGGAGGTCTTGTCTGCGATCAGTTCTTGCTCGAGCATATGCTTCCAGTGCGGACAAGTTAATCTTCTCATGTAGCCGAGCCTCACTCAAACGACCCAAGAAAGCCAAGTCTTCGGATAGGCTTTTGTTCTGACGAATCATCTGGGCGTCATGCTGGAAAGCAGATCCTGTCCACTTTTCCTGTAAATGCAGAAGGTCGAAAGGATCACTCCATTGTGCCCAAGTGCCGAAGACTGCGGACCCGCCGTTAGCCTCCATTGCAGGAACCAAGCGCTGCCAATCGATGAGAAGCTTGTGGAACGTGCTGTGATCAACCTGCTTGAGCAAGAGCACATCTACATGGTCCACAGCCTCGATCAGGTGCGAGAGTTTCGTGCGCTTGCCTTTCGAAGACGAAATCGCACCGGGTAGCGATTCAATTTTGTGGATAAGATACTCCCTGATTGTTCTTTTCCAAGGCGTCTGAGAATGGGCTGCAATGACTGTGTCGTTGTTCTCCGACAAATCGCAGACACCTTCCCCTGGAGGCGGAGCATTCCCACCGGCTAACCGCGAGGCTAGCCACTTCGTGTCGCTTAGCAAGTCGGCATGGACTTCACCCAGATTATTGATCATGTTCAACGCCTCTTCCAGGCTTGTCTCCTGAAAGAACGGTATGCAATATTCACGTAGATAAAGAGCGGCGGTGACCTCATGTGAAAGCAAAGAAGACAGCTCCTCCTGAGACAGCAAAAGGAACACACCCTTCTCGGGATCCACCTCATTCTCAGCTGCCGTGAATTTGCCCTTGCCCATGCGTACACAGACGACACGACGTTCGAGCTGCTGACAGCTCTTGTTGCGATCACGAGCCTCTTCTATGACAGGTATGTTGTCATAGTTGAGCTCTTGGACTTTCAAACTGTCACCAAAGCGCCGTTTTGTAGTGAACCCATAGTTCACTCTGCAGTCTATATCCTCATTCACAACGAAACGCTTCCATATGTCAGCATGGAAATGGGCCCGTTGATCCATTTCCTGAATCCTAACATTCGCTGCATTCCAGGCCAGCTCAGCTGACTTACGGAATTCGCCGCGATCGAGAAAGACACCACAGTCCAGAGTCGAGGACGCAAGATCACCAAAGAGAGCTCGATCCAAAATGGCCTCCATACCTTTGCCGTCCCCTCCCTTCCCAATCTGGAAGATCATCTTAGATGTGCAAACCCGCTTGAAAGCAGCATGAAGAAAGCAAAGCTTGATCTCGAAGGCATGGGCATTCTCGTAATAGAGGGATTCCAGGAACGAACGAAGTCTGCGACGATAGTCCTCCACATCTATGCTAGGATCCTGCGCAACTACCTGCTCATACAAGAAGTGGTAGTTCAGCTTGAGGTAGCAGTTGTGGTCCCGGGACTTGGGTGCAATCTCCCAATTTTCGTCCAAGAAGACATCCAGGAAGCAGACACCCTTGGAACGAGGCAAAGGAGCGTCCCACTCCACAAGAAAGAGCTTGGACAAGGGCTTAGACAAAAACTCATTTTCCCACGTCTTACGGTACTGCGCGAGCATGTCGGCGACACGGCGACTCCACTGAGCATGCCAAGTTTTGTTGCTAGTTGCCTTTCGAACATGATCACTGTTCGTTTTGGCTACCCCGCATAGTGTCTTGATCACCGTCTCCGTGCCCTGCATGAGACCACGGATGATTTGCACAATATGAAAGCTTGCGGATGTCCATGTCCATTCCACCTGGTGACCCGCAGCCTCAACGTCCAGCGACATTTGCACGAAGAGACCTTCCAAGGCCATAAGGATTTCCCACGCATCCAGATAGAGTGAGTCCGCTCGAACCCATGCACCATCCTTGTAGTGGAAAGCTTGACGACAATGAGCACGCCAACTGTCTCCGTCGATGAGCATGGCTAGCATGAGCTTTTGCTTGTTGGACATCATGTAGTTTGCAGCATCCATGTCGCACACATACTTGGCCATAGCCACGAGTTGACTGCACTCTGGAGTGAAATCTGGGTAAGATTGCTGACCCCAGAGTAGATATTGAAGTCGTAGGTCCGGCATCTTGGCGCGATCGTTGGGCGGAGGTGGTTGTAGAACCTCTGCTGGTGGTGGAGGCACGTCCATGTCGGACAAGGCGCGGAACCTGAGCGATCAGAGCGACGAGGACAGTATAGATAAGAACAACTTACACAATTGTGCGCTAGGCATCCGACAAACCTGCGCCTCGGAGACGCTTTTGCGGACGTTGCGGTGGCGCAGAGCTAGCCATCTCGGGATACTCTGACTCCATCAGGTGCTCAAGGTCACGCTCCAACTGGTCCGCCATAGGAAGGACGAACGAGGACAAGCGAGCGGAAGGGATTGCAAGAAGATGCTTTGCGCAATGAATGGCTATGACGGGGAATGTTATGCGGTGAGCGACGGAAGCAATGTACATGGGATATAACGTAGCGAACACATCGATGCCAAAACGTGGAGATTCGAAAAGTGAGACAGTCTGAGGATGACACAGAGACGTTCTTGCTGGAGGGCAACCATGACCTGCAACGTGTCCATATGTTGCGATAATATATGGATTATGTTACAGTTTCATTGGTTTCGCTGTATTTCGCTTCATACATGTTTCCTATGTTCATTTGTCCCCTTTATTCCCTTGTTCCCTTTGTCCCCTGGTCCCCTTTGTCTCCTTTGTCCCCCTTGTTTACTTAAACCTCTAAAGGGCTAGTACTTACAGCAATGTCTTGGTCGCATGCTCACATATATACATTCCGCTGCTCACTGGTTCAAGTGGTTTTACCGACTTGTAGCAAGCTCTCTCTGCGTAGCAGAACAAAACAATCGCTGTCCGTGTGCTGGGCGTTGCCTTAGATCCCACGGGACTCAAACTGGTCATACACTCCCACAGGAGTAATCCTAAAGGGGTGTATCGGCTCAGTTTTCTGGTAGCGGAGCCCGGAAGGGCCGCCCGCCTCACAAAGCACCGCAACAGCGGTCGGCCTAGCCGACCGCTTAGCAAAGCGGGCTGAGGCAGCACCATGTCGAGCTCGCACAGCGAAGCCGACGGCAGCTCCCAATCCTCCGGGGGATATGAGAACGAGGAGACCTCACAAGGTCCAGCCACTTATGTCGCGCAGTCATATGCAACATCTGACCGCATGCTTGCATCACTAGGCATAACGCCCAAGATCGCGCCTGCCTATGATGGCACCACTTCGTGGTTTGAGTATGAAAAGTTGATTGACGACTGGTGCGACATAACAACGCTGGATAACACCAAAAGAGGTCCGTCTCTCAAGACGAGGCTCTCCGGATTGGCCGCAGTACAAAAGGAATCACTCAACCGAGAAAGGCTTGCAGCCCCAGATGGAGTAGATTACTTCAAGAAGAAGATGCGTCCATTTTTCGTAAAAGGAGAACAATATGTTTTCCTGTGGCGGTTCCTTGGCCTGTTCAAGGCGTGGAAAGGCAACCAAGACTTTGTCACTTGGATTGCCAAGTTTGAGATCGTGCTCAATAGACTGCGAAACTCCTGGATGGATCTCTTACCAGAGATAAACCTGGAAGATGCCAATCAGGAGTTTGTAGCGGCAGTGCAGCAAGATCAAACTTTCACTCGCCTGCAGGATGCCCATGAGAGGGACCAGTATGCCGCACGATTCTTTGAGACATGGAACAGGGAACGCCATGATAATCATCGTAGAGCGTTTCCACTGAATGACAATCTCCTAGCTCTCCTGTTCCTAGTGCAGTCCGACCTGAATGAGATACAACGTGAGAGGTTGGTATCAGCATTGACCAACCAAGGTTACCGAATTGAGACCTACACGTACCCTGTGGTACGGCAAACTATGTTCGATCAGTTTTCAACGACCAGAACTGGTTTGCAGGATCCCAACATTCGGCATACTTCTCACAAGAAGGACCGCCATGGAAGGAGAGACCAACGCCGCAAACGCGGAGGTCGGAACTTTCTCATCCTCGATCAGGGTGAATACGACGGAGTCGATGGATTCTGGCTCCAAGATGAAGACACCCTTGAGGAAGGCTTTCTTGCCGCTGAAGATGAGGAAGCTGTCTTCTGGACAGTGGATGACCATGAGGCCTTCGTTGCAAGGAGATTCAAGAAAGGAAGAAGACCAAGAATGCGTCCCGGATCACCGGGAAGAGCAAAGGGTGGCAAGCGAAAGGGACGTGGCCGTTTTAGGTCATACCGCGGAAAAGGGAGAGCCAACCAGGCAGAACATGATCCAGCCGATTCCAGTTATTTCGGTAAAGGAAAAGGAAAGGACAAAGGAAAAGGTGGAAAAGGCAAATGGAAAGGAAAAGGAAAGGAAGACAAAGGAAGCTCTTTCAAAGGCACCAAAGGAAAGGGCAAAGGTAAGGATACAGCTAAGTCTGCCTCCTTACAAGGAGATCAAACTGCATCTCCACATGCCTATGAAGGTTCCACCACACCGAGCTGGGATTCATGGTACGAGGACAGTTATTACACTGACTCCGGTTGGAATTATGCCGCTTATGACGAAAATACGTCTTACACGTACTATGCACAAGCCTCAAAACGTAAAGCACGGAGAAAGAAGAGAAGGAACAACAAAGGATCATCAGGTAGAGGCACAGATCCGAGCGCGCACCATGATACCGTGTACAACCCCTCAGAGAGTTATTTGCCTTTGGCGCATGATGAACGTCAGGGGCCAGGTGTGGAGACTGCAACAGCAGTGTTTCCGTTGCAGCACACCGTCCTATCTGCTCTCACAGAGCGGATCAATCTTGATCGAAGCCCTACCTTTGTCATTCTTGACTCAGGTTGTACAAGGACCATGGGATCCCGCTATGCGGTGAATCGGCTTATCAAGGCCGTCAAGCAACATGCTCCAGGCATGATTGATTTTACTTTCTCACCTTCGAACACGAAGTTCTCCTGAATCTCAGAATGACCCTTGAGTGCAGTCCGACCGCGGATCTTGCAACGTGTGAAGCTTTTGGTCTTTACAAGACCCCCCTTCCGATTAGTACCAATAATCACTTGGTGCTTGACCTCCTAAGCTTCACTTCCACCAGGAAGTATAGTCTTAAGGACGGTTCTTCCTTTCAAGCAACAGAAACTGCCTTAGGAGCCAAGAAGCCGAAGGAAGACAGGCGATCTTACACAAAGATTCCGGAAGGTCGTTGTCCAGCCTGTGCAGGACAAAAGAAGCCTCACACTTTCCTGAAGGGATGTGACAAGGCACCGGAAGGTGCAGCGGATCCTCCGCCCAAGGGCATTCCAGGCAAAAAGAAGACACCTCCACCAGACCCCGCAGAATCCTCTGCTAGAAGGTCTGATCCACCAGAACCATCTGGTGAACCACCTGAGCCTGCCGAATCATCGGAACCAGCATCAGGCTCAAGAGACAAACCTCCAGAAGTTTCGGAACCACCCGAACTTCCTTCTGAAGAGAAGCCTGAGCTTCCACCAGGAAGGGTAAAGACTCCAAGAGGTCTCAAAAATCTTCTCAAGAAGAAGAAATATGCAGTTAAACCTCCAGTGGAGGAGAGATCTGTTGTCCCAGGAGCTGATCACGGGACGGAGGTAGAACCACTTGAGTCAAGAGAATACCCTGCTCCTAGGACAGACTCACCAACAGGTGAGAGAGACCACGGAGAGGAATTTGTGCCTGAGCCGGCACCCTCTCTTCCTATTGCCCTTCGTAGGATTCACGAGAAGCTCAAGGATCCAGTTGAACTCTACAAGCTTCATCTGAAGCATCGTCACATGAACATAGATCAGTTCAAAAGAAGGACAACGGCTCTTCAGATTCCGAAGGAAATTTATGAGCTCTATGACCAACTGGTCAAGAAGTGCTCAGCTTGTCAGGAACACAAACGAGCCCCTTCACGGGCGAAAATATCAGGTCTAAGATCCGAAACCTTCGGGGATCTAACTTTCGTGGACCATGGTGAATTGCCAATTCCTGGCAAGGCTAGTCGACTTATATTTCTCATACTTTATGATGGAGCGACAAACCTCCTGACATCTGAAGTTGTTCAGGACAAGGAGGAACATACTACCATGTCCATCATGAATGACTATTTTGAGAAATACCAGATCAACCCAAAGGTTGTCGTTGGAGATCAAGCCTTCATGACTCCAAAAATGGAGGCCTATTATAATCGGCAGAATATCAAACCTGTAGCCACAGGCCCTGGTACACCATGGCCTAACAGGGCCGAGGCAGCTGTACGATTGCTGAAACATCAGATTAAGATCATACTTCAGATTCTCAAGGATGGTGATCCGGAATATAATGGTATCACTATGAAGTATGGTAACTTAGTGCGTCAGGCATGTTTGGCAAGAAACTCCTCAATTACATACGGGGGAGTAACTCCTCTAGAGATGGCCTTTGGTAGACGTCCTCGAGACGTTATAACGCCCGAGAATGCAGACCCCAATCAGTTGACCGGTAATCCTACCGACACTGAGGTTACTGCAAGAGCCATTAAGGAACTTGCCAACAAAGCCTACCAAGAGGCACGCCAATCTGATGACCTCAGGAGAGATCTCGCATCGAGGCTCTCGATGACCGAAGGACCTTTCTCTCTAGGAGATAAGGTCCATTATTGGTCAGAAGACAAATCAAAAATCGGATCAACCGGATCCAAACATGGATCTTGGCTAAAAGGAAAGGTTATCTCCGAACTCGGAGGTTCCATGGTAGGTGTTGATCTAGGCACTCGTATTGTGCGAGTGAATATCTCCAAACTGAGAAAGAACTATGACATCACATCTGATGTAGAGATTCCCTTAGCACCTGATGAAGAAACTCTTACATCAGAAGGTTCAGACCATGCCAGCTGTATGGTCACCTTTGATGCGTCCCTGATTTCATCAGATCTGACAATACCTCATCATGAGTGTCACTGGCAGGTCACTAGTTCAGGAAAGATCGACTTCCTGGAGCTCTACGGAGGATCACCTCGTATGAGTCACAAGGCTGCCTTATCAGGATTGAGAGTAGGACAGCCGATAGACCTGCGCAGTGGATTAGATCTTGAACAGCCACAAGGCCGTTCAAAGCTTCTAAGGATAATCAAGGAACAAGAACCTACCATTATTGTGATGTCTCCGGACCACTCCC